ATTGTGATTTTATTGTAATGCTAACGAGTTTCCAAACTATCTCCTCTATTAACTATGCATGAACTCAGACGTCTGACCTCAGCAACATTCTAAGATAAACAAAAGGCCATAAATAGTATCAAATTTCAAACGCTCTCAATTGTTCAAATCGCGTTTGCAGACGAGTTTTATTACGGTTTTTAGTACTTAAAAGTGTCCTTTTTTGAACTATACTAGTCACTGTATGTAATTAGGTCCCGCTTTTAAGAAATTCAACGTAGAAAATAGTAGGATTTGAAAGCCGTATTTTGACATGGCGCTCTTTGTCGCTAAATATTGTCACAAATGCTCTGGAATTGAAAATCTAAGTTGAACTAAAACTTTTGAAATTATGTTTATTTAAATTCAGCCCATTTTTTCGTTTAAAGGCACAGTTCAGCCTTTTGAACGATGGTTTTTAAGGCGCATTTGAGCCCTTTTAATTGAAAAAACTAACTAGGAAAATCAATTAAGCATAGTTCAAAATCAGTAAACTCGATGTTTTTAACAATATAAATGTTTTAAAATGTTAAAAACATAAAGTTTGGTGATCTTGAATTATGCTTAATTGATTTTCCTAGTTAGTTTTTTCAATTAACAGGGCTGAAATGCGCCTTAAAAACCATCGTTCAACAGGCTGAACTGTGCCTTTAATAAAGGCCTGATTCCACGAGCGCTTTTTGTCGGCGAAATGCGAAATATTTCGCCTGTTTCTTTTGAATTGTGAGCAATCAAGTAGAAATAATTTATTCGAGTGGTCGCAATTCAAAAGAAACAGGCGAAATATTTCGCATTTCGCTGACAAAAAGCGCTCGTGGAATCAGGCCTTTAGCCGGCAAATTTCTCCCGCGACGGTGCGAGACCAAAAAATCGCTAAAATTTTGAAACTAAACATATTTTCAAAATTCCAAACAGCATTTGTTTGTTGTTAAAGTAAATGTAGTTCACGGTAAAAGTTTCGAAGAAATTTATTTTTCGAGCCCCAAGTCAGTGGGCGCTTTTTAGAGACACATGCTCTTAAACCTCTAACGTACTGTTTAATAAACGAGCAGGAGTGTTTTATTAGGTTTAAAGCCACGAGCGCACAGCGCGAGTGGCTTTAGACCTAATAAAACACGACCTGCGAGTTTATTAAACAGCTTCAAACACGACTACACATTCAATAGATATACTGCCTTATTAGTATTCTTTATATAAAGAATACTAATAGTAGGACACGACTACAATAGATACTGCCTTATTAGTATTTTTTATATAAAGAATACTAATTAGGAGTGTTTTATCAGGTTTAAAGCCTCTGCACGTGACATATTATGGTTGACATGTTTTGCCAATAAGCTTATGAATTATTAATGAGTGTTTGAAATATATTTATAATCTATCATTTGAAACTGGAAAAATACCAAATTTTTGGAAAATAGCTTTAGTTACTCCTATTTTCAAAGCTAAGGAAAATAATCTATTTGAAAACTATCGACCTATATCATGCAGTATTAACTTTTTTTTCAAAACTACTTGAAAAACGTATGCGCAAGCGACTAATTAACTATGTTCAAAAACGTATACTTTCAGAACACCAATTTGGTTTTAGAAAAAATAGATCAACTGAGCATGCCATTCTTGAACTAACCGATAAGATACCCAAAGCAACAGATGAATGTAAATATACTGTAGGTATTTTCCGTGATCTCTCTAAAGCCTTCGACACTGTCAATCACGAAATTCTCATAAAAAAACTTAACACTATGGAATTAGAGGAATAGGTGGTTTACAATGGTTTATATTTTTTTTACAGGAAAGAACTCAAATGGTCAAATATAAACAACATAGGTCAACTGAAATGAGTGTTAGGACTGGCGTCTCACAGGATTCAATTCTTGGACCACTACTATTTCTAATATACATTATTGAGATTGAAAACTGCAGTAAAATTCTTTCTTTTGTCTTATATGCCGATGATACAAATGCCTTTTATTCAAATTCGTGCTTAAAAACGTTAGCGAGTACTATACAAAATGAAATGAATGAAGTAGTGCAATGCATCCAAAACAAAATTTGTCATTTTTAAATAAAAAAGTAAGTCACAGCATCAAGAAATCATAGCAAAAATAAATAATGATATAGTTGAACAAGTACCTTGTGTAAAATTTCTCGGTGTATCAATTGATCAAGAGTTGACATGAAATAACCACATCAGCTCAGTTCTGAAAAACATAATTAAATATGCAGGTAAATTTCAGGGTGTTACGCCATGTTATCGGTTCTGAGAAAGCTGAAATATTTAGCACGATATAATATCAGGAAACAACTTGCAGAGAGTCTAATTTTGTCAAAATTAGATTATAACGACGTTGTGTGTAATCCAGTTCCTGATTACTTACTAAAACGTTTACAACAAATGCAGTTGGCTGTTGCAGGTTTTGTATTGCGGAAGTATGCCAGTATGAGTGACATCCTCTCTCTTGGTTGGCTTCCTGTTGTGGAACGTAGGGACTATCATTTAGCCAAACTAGTCTTTAAAGCCATTCATTCCAGCGACTGGCCCTCGCACCTAAAACTTGACGAGTATGAGCCTTCAAGACCTCTGCGTTTATCGTCTTCCCGTCGCTTGGTCGTTCCACGTGTCTCTGGTACCTTTCAAGGCGAGGCTGCTCGTGTGTTCAACGATCTTCCCGAAGACATTCGGAACAGTAATAACTTTAGAGAGTGTTGCCGAAATTGTTTCGCTCATTTCAGAGACTTAGCAATGAACAAAATTAGCAACATTTAGTATGCAAAACAATGTGTTTATATTGTTACGTAGTGTATCCATTGTTTCGTTTCGTTTTTGTCGTTTGATTATCTCTTGTAAAGTATAGGTCTCTAATATACTATAATATTGTAGTAATTTAATGTTGTCATAATGTTTGCATGTAACCTTTTGTAGCATAGAATAGCCACAATGTGGATATGCTATTAAACCATTATTATTATTATTTTACGAACAAAAACACTTCGAAATTGATTTATTATGCATTGGTTTATCCATACCTCACGTACGGAAATCTAGTTTGGGGAAATACAACCCAATTAATGATCCAAAGATTGAATCATTAAATATAAACTATAATTAACACAATAGAAAACACACGTTTTAGTTTTGTAGGAGAAGGGGTGTTTTGGGGGGAAGTACTCTGTGTTTATGCCAAACGACATCCCTCCTCATCGTCACATACCTAATACTGTACTGAACTGATAATGCTAGTCAGGAGTAGCGACTCCCTGACGTATCTGACCAAGAGCACACTTGGACAGTCCCTAACCTGCCCACTTGGGCAGTCTCTAACCAGTCTAAGGTCCACAGAACCGCTTAGACAGTCCCTATTATTTGGAATATATATTTATATGTAACGTTACTAGAGTCTATGGGAAATGAAGTTGACATATTGGAATACTTATTCCCCAAAAACACACGATAGAGTGTTCCCCATAGACGAAAACGCCCTCCCCCCTCTTTTTTTTTTTAATTAAATGATGCAGTCATGGTGGCAGATACCTTTGACAGGGTAAGGCCCGGTTTAGACGCCGTGCTTTTCATGAGCCGAACTTAATACAATGCATTAAGCACATGAGAAGCACGGCATCTAAATCAATTAAGCACTGCACTTAATATTAAGCGCGCCTGGTTCAGGCGTGCTACACGGCTGAAGCACATGTTGATTTATACTGCCGTGCTTTACATGAGCCGTACCAAATGCGTAAATTATGATAATATAGAACATTTATAGTACGCGAGCGTTGATTGGTCGAGAAGCGTGTTTCTACACGGGAAATTTCCCGCCTAAACTTACAATCGTAAACAAAACAATTTTAATGCAAATTAAGAAACTTTAAAAAGAATTTTACCTACTCAGCTCATTTTGTAACTGTTTCAGTCAAAATACAAAAACCTCCCCACTTCCGCAGCTTGTTTTGTATTTCTGTAATTTGTTCTATTTTCTCTGTAGTGATTTAATACCGCTTTATCGGCAAATATCGCGGTAGAATTTCCCTTTCTTTTCTTTATATACGTCAATTTGTAGCAAAGGATACACCTTTCGTTAGATTCTTTGCATAAAAGTTGGGAAATTAGGCTTATACTTGCTTGCTAATAAAGGCAAAAAGGGTTTCTTGCAGTGAAATTGATGCATGGAGCAAAGGTCGGCATTATTATACGTAATGAGAATTTGTAAATATATCGAGTCTACTACAAATCTTTTTTTAGTTATATTATGAAATAAATATAAAACATTTATTATGTGTGACCCATACAGTTATAGAAACACTTGTAGTAGTTTGAGAGAACTCGAATAACGTGGAAAAACTCGCCCTATAAAGCCAGTGGCGTAGCCAGTTCGATAATTGGGAGGGGGGACATATTCATATATTCGTGTTCTGCATTATTAATTTCTTTTGAATTTGATTGTCTTTACGTTCTGTGAATACGAATATATGAATATACCCCCCCCCCCCACATTTATCGAGCTGGCTACGCCACTGCGCTAAACCTATAGGTCTCGTTTTCCCACCCATTATATCCAGGCATTATGCTATGTTTGTAGTAATAAGGCTTTTCAAAAAGCAGTTTCGGTAGCTATGACCAGCATAGTGTGACACATTAAAACCTGCTTGGTTTAATAAAATCCGAGTCTCAGCCGTTAAAGTTTGTTTGGTAAGAGGTTTTCCAGAAACATGAACAAAGAGTGGACCACCCGTTGTTTTTCTAACCAAGAAGTACTTGTTCATTGCCAAAACAGGACATAGGGGCGAGTTGGATGCGCCAACTGTGATTGTTTGACCCAAACGGAATGGGTCTGTTTTGGAGACTTTGATTTCCACCGTCATGAATTCGGGGTCGCCTTGACCCACCCCTGCAGCAAAATAGAGGTTTTCAAGCATGAGATGGACCTCGGGGTTGAATTTAGTGTTACATGTCAGTTCGCCTAGACGAAGATATCCAAAAAGGCCAAAGTCATGGCCGCCCAAATCATGAGGGACTCGTAATTTTGTGTTGATGGAATGGCAAGCATTAAGTGAAACAATCGCAAGTGATGAATTGTTATTGGTAGACGCACACGAGATTGGTCCCCATGGGAACGCTTTATGCCACGTAAGACCAGCTGCAATTGTTGCATTTTTGGTAAATTTAGTTGAAGACCTCGACGCACATGCAAATGGCGAACAGCTGCCAGATAGGTTTTGATTGAGGCATATTTTATAGATTTGGCGAGAAAATCCACAAATTCTGTCAAAATGGCTTCTGTTGCTGGTAGGCACTGTTCAAGTGATTGCTGTTTAAACATAGTTACGAAATCAATATAGCGTTTTTTTGTGGATGAAGCAATGAATAAGTTGATGTAATGCTGAATGTCCCCTCTCAGATTTTCAACAGTTGGCTGGGATAGGGCATGGGATCTGCATGTGGTGCCAGTTTTCTGAATCTCTGCAGCTGAAAACGAGAGATAGAGTCCGCAATTTCATTGCGTTTACCTGGGATATGTTTTGCATGAATGTATAGATTAAATTTCAACGTGACTAGTATAAGATGGCGTAATAAATCCATCACACGGCGAAATTTTGAACGCTTAGAATTGATTGTGTTAACAACCGACTCATTATCGCAATTAAAAATTAATATTTTGTTGCAGAGAAGGCTTCCCCAGAGCTGACATGCAATTACAATAGCAAATAACTCTTGCCATGCAATACTAATGCCTGGTTTATCTTACTGGTGGGAAGGTTCCCAAGTACCCTGGAACCATTTAGTACCAAATATCCCCCCATAACCAAATGTTCCTGATGCATCAGTAAATAGCTGCAAACTGTCGGCATCTTGCCATAACGTTGAGAGGAAAAAATTTGCCCCGTTCCAATCAGTAATGAATTGTTTCCACATAGCTAAATCCTTAAAAAATCCCAAACCCCAAATTTAGTTTAATATGGTGGTGGGATTCCTTGACATTTCTGGTCAAGTCGAGCATCCGCTGCCAGAATGGCCGTCCAGGAGGAACGACTTTGCATGCAAAATTTAGAGTTCCAATTAAGGATTGCAGCTCTTTCAAAGTACAAGATTTTTTAGCTTTAAACTCGGCAAAAATTGCCGGGCTTCCATTTTTACTGTATCCAAAATAATGCCCATAAATTCAAGGACTTGTAAGGGGCCCCGAGTTTTCCCTGGAGCGATAGGAATCTTGAGGTCATGAAAAGTAAGAAGCATTTTAGATAAGCTCTGTAAACATGTGCTATCATGTTGCATGGAAGGTGCTTTTGGTTCCATGATTAAAAAATCATCAAGGATAGCCAATGCAAAAGAAATCTTGCAGTTATTAAGTAAAATCCATTCAACAGCATCGGACAACTGATTAAAAATAAATGGGGCACTCCTAAGGCCAAAGGGGAGAACCTTGTCAAAATAGTACTTACCATCCCAAAACATACCTAATAGCTCATTGTCGTCGGGGTGGACCGGAATAAGCCGAAAGTCTGACTCAATATCAGTTTTGGCAAGGAAACAACCTGGCCCAAAACGTTTAATGCCCTCAATAGCATCATCAATGGTAACATACTGTAGACTAAAATCATCCTTGCAAATTGCGCTGTTTATGCTGGTCATGCCCGACTTGGGAAATGAGAGGTGAAAAATCAAGTGAAATTTTTTAGAATTCTTTTTGGGAACAGTGCCAATTGGTGAGACTTGAAGATTACTGAATGGGGGACTGTCAAATGGACCAGCCACCCGGCCAAGATTTGCTAAATTTGCCGAGACGATGCTAGGGTTGGCAAGCGCTGTAGGCAATTTTTTTGAAAACCGTGGGATACGCTGTCCCTGAAAACCAATTCTTGCCCCATGCCGTAAATTATTGCATATTTGTGACGTAAAATGTGTATCTGGGTGCCCAGTGAGTGCTGCCTCTAAACTATCTACAGATCTAGCCATATAGGTGTCGGTAGCGACAAAATGATCTTACTGATGCTTTGATTTGCTGGGTTTGTGACTACTCGTTGAGGCGTGGTTGCTATTGCTTGAGGGTCTTTCACCGCATTTAAATCCTGGGTGAGGACCTGTTCACGTAGGAAGCTGGGATATCATGCGCGCCGTGTCCATAAGGGGTGGCTGGTTCCGCTTGAGCAAACTGTGTTAGATCAACTGTGCTAACATCTGGAACTGCGCTGGGTTGACTACGAAGAACATCGGAGGAAGCATCGAGATATCGTTAGAACTCTGAATGGCTTTGTGCGGTCGACGAAGTCATAGCTTGGATAGCAGCCCGGGCGGCGTTCGTTGCTATTTCAGCGGCAGATCGTTCTACGCTTTCTGACACGATTGGTCGAATCTATGCGAGTTGTGCATCGGTCAACAAGGCAGGCGATTGTGTGGCCAGTGTAGAAGTACCGTTTGATGTTTCTACCGAAGAACTCGGTGTAGCAGAAGGCGCATTTCCCGTAGTGTGTTGTTGTAAGCGCGCAATCAAAGTTTGTCTTCGACCGCCGCTAGGGTATACCTTCTTCCCCGCATCTACGACGAAGGCTCGAGTTTGGTGACGTTGGTCCGTTCCGTTTCTTTGTTGTCGAGGCATTACAGAGATTTTTGTTGAATATATTAATATTGATTTAATGTAACATGGAGCTCGAAGGTAAATCCTTCAAGAGCTTTGAGCAAAATATAATGCCAAAAAATTGCACATGATGCATAACTTATGCTCCTACTTGCTTTGCGATTCGCTGTTGGTTTTTATTGGGATACGTGTAAAAGCTTTTCATTGGCTAAAGCGTTTCTTTCATTAATATTCACGTGAACACAGTGCTGCTTCAAGAAAATAACCTTTGACCCACCAACAATACACGGAAATATCGACCTGCACCTTTGTCATGCATGTGCCAATGAGGATAGGCTTGCAAAACACTTGCTTTCAACATGTTGTCTCATTAACTGAATTTAAGCGTTTTAAATTGGCTCAAGGTGACAAAAGTTACTAAATGTGCAAAAGAAAATTATTCGACTAATCTGTTTTAAATCTTATATGAATCATTCTGAACCAATATTTTTACAATTGAAAATCTTGAATATCTATAAAATTAATGATTATGTATGCAGCTTATTCATGTATAGCTTCAATTATTGTCAAGTTTTGCCCATGACTGAAATAATTTGCTCGTGGAACAAAGTATCAGGAAATGGCATTTTAGGATGAAATAAACTGGCACTTTGTAACTATGATTTGCAGTTATAAAATCTGAATACATTGACATTATTTTGTGGTAACACCTTAACATGTTTCTTAAATAATAGAAGAATTCAAAGGAGAAAGAGAAATTAATTATGGTGGCGGCATCATGACTTTATTTAATTAAACAAACTGATCCTTACAAGAACAGTTGACTTCAGAAAATTAAGCTAGGATGTGATAAAATACAAAGAAAAGATTAAAAATAACTATAAATAGCTTGCAATGATTTCATAAAGATCAAGATCAATACTGAATTATATTTCCCGTTTTAGATATACGCATGTTTCGCCTTATTAACCATAATCAGGGCCTCTTTTAAAATATAGACTGGAAAGGGGGGGGGG